CCTAAACTTGACGTTGGGTATTTTATAAATTCCAGAAGATCCTCAACACTGATTTCTTGATGATTACATCTCTGCCTCAGTTCCTTTTGTGATTTTAGTTAGAGCCCTTGGTGGCTTCCTTGTTAGCCCTTGTGTGTCCCTCAGCTCCTGCACATTTTCCAAAAGCCCTTTGCTTTTCTTTCTGTTTTATTCTTTAGATTTAAATTTCAGTTTGCTGAATCAGTCTTCAGTCACTTCTAAATTGCAGATTTACTTATTAGAGTTAAATTTGTAATTCTTCTATTTTTACTTTGTTCATCTTCTAGTGTGATTTGTTTTTGTAGATCTTTTAATTTGCTTGTTATTTCTTATATCTTGTAAGTTACTAGTTTAAATTCCTGTTTTATTATAAATATATTATACAAACTTACATACTGTGGGTGTTATTCTCCTTATTTTGTGCTGTCACTCCATTTTCATCTACATTCTGTGAATTTTAACAGTGAACTTCCTTCCCACAACTTGTCTTTGGGGTTTATCTGCTGCACAGAATATATTTCTGCCTCTACAGCAGGGACTAGAGTTGGCATCTGCCTTTGTATGCATGTGTAGCTGATCTGGATAGACAGAGACCCTGTGCAGATACTGTCTATGTCTCTGCCTGGAGTTTTTCAGCTCCCAGATCTTATGAGTGTGGGTTTGTGGTTGCAGATTCTCAACGCTGAACTTTTCTGGGTTTGCTTTCTCCCTACCATCAGGCCTGATCTCTGAGTGCACTGATGTCACTGTAGTGGTTTGTTTGTCACCAGCTCTTCCACTATTAATTGTGGCTATTCTGCCTATGTTCCATTGTCTACCATACTTAGGCACTACACTTATTGCCTTTCCACTGTGCAAGAGCCAGTTGCACAGCAAATCTCAGCTCCTCAGGGATTTGCAGTTGCTTCCTAGGGAGGTAGTCTACACTTATTGCAGACCCAGGTCAGAGTCTGCCTAGAGTCCTTGCATTGTGAGGTCCATGAAATATAGGAGGTCGGTTCCATGTGGGACACTCAGATCTCACAGAGATGGGTGGGACCAACATGGTGTTGATGTTCTTGAGTGTGGCTTGTCACTTCTGATGCTTGTAGTCAGGCTGGATACCCATGGGAGGTAGCTCTTCTAACCCTGAAAGTTGGCTTTACTCATGTCTAGCATATCTCCTATGGAGGGTTGTATCCACTGTCCTGTGAACTCTGGAAGGAGATGGCCTAGATGGAGGTGACCCTGGAAGTCCTAGGCAGATCCTACCTAGGCCCTCCTGTAGGTGTTCAGGTCTCATGCTGTGTGGGCTGGTATGTCTGAAGCCTGGGCTGTAGGTCAGGCTTCTCTCCCTGATGTTCAGTTGTCCCAGGGCAGTTGGAGCTAATCAGAGGAAGCTTCTGGAGGGTCAGCTCCAGGTTGTAGCTGTGCAGATGCTACAGAACCACATCCTGCAAGCAGGGCATTCTTGTCTCCATGTCCTTCCTATTTTCTGGAACTTATTTGTTCTAATTTATATCTAGATGTCTCCCCAGAGCCTCATGCACTCATGGGAGAGGGGCTTTGGGAGTAACTGGATTACTGGGTGTGTGATACTGTATTAGTCTACTGATTGGTTTAGCATAGTTCTGGGTATGATGGGCTTACTGATGAGGAAAGACCACTCTGGGTATGGGTGGCACCAACCAGCAGGTTTGTAGTCTGGATGGAATAAAAAAGGAAAGAAGGGCTTCTTTCTCCCTGCTTCTTATCTGTCCTGCCATGGGCTGTTTCTCCTGTACCATGCCCCTCCACCTTGCTGCCCTTCATTGGTGCCAGCTGACTATGGATTGAAACCTCTACAAACTCTGAGCTAAAGTAAACCTTTCCTCCGTTCATGTGTGGGTGTCGGGTACTGTATCCCAGGAGCAATGAAAAAGTAAGAAATTCTTTCTCCCGATGACTTTCAGAGTACTTGTCATGCAGTGTCTAGTGCTGCTTATCTCTGGGCATCCATGCTCTTCACCTATAGAACTGGCCTTGGGCTAATTTCTGACAGGGGGCCTGGGTCTCCAGGAGCAGCCCTGGGTTCAGAGAGGGCACTGAGTCTTGAAAGTTCCCTTGCCCCAAAGGCAGGTGAGCAGAGCTCACGAGGTGTGACCAGAGCTTCAAGGAAGCAAGGAGTTTATGGGCATTGGGGCTGGAGCAAGGAGCCACTGAACCCCCATTGCATTTCTGTGATGCACTTGTGGTCTTCAGAATGTGGTGGGGATTGATTTGTTAGTTTCGGGTAGACCACAGCAGCCTCAGACGGCCAATGTCTCCTATGCCCATTGTGAGTTTATTTATGGAGTTAGATATGCTGTTTTCCCCCCTTGTCCCTGCCCCTCCACCTGTGGTCAGCCTCCCTCCTGGGATGCCCTGGACTCTGGTGCCAGCAGCTCAGATGGGTCCAGAGGCATAGAGACCCCAGGTCGTCTGCTTTCTTCTGGGTGAGACAGTGTGCTCTCAGTTCTCTGCCTCCTTTAGTTGCCACCAATTATGTGATAGGCAAGTTCTGTTGCTTACAAACAGGACTGTCTGTACCCAGGAGATGCACTCAGTGGCAAGTGTTTTATTTTGTTCTTCCTGAGCAAGTCTTTAAGGCTCTGTTGGCACAGCCTGGGTGCTGGTTTGTGCAGCGATTAATCGCCGGCGTTTGCTCAAGTGGAAACAAAGCGAACTTGACTGCAAGTAGAATCAGTCATTAAAAAGTCGTTACCAAATCACACCAGCCCAGTGCCTGCTCCTCTACTAATGGCAAAACAATTCCTTAAAAGGGAACAAACAACAAACTTCTGCATAGTATTTTTTTTTTCTTGTCAGCCAATGCTAGCCTGGAGATGTAAGAGAAGAGAACTCTAGTGAAGGGCAGCATTTTGGAGATTTATTGGTCAATAAAGGAGACAATTACAGCTTGTTTATGGAAGGAAATCCCCCGCCCTGGCCTCTTGCGGCATCGACAGTCTGGTAATGATAACTTGGGTAACCAGCTCGAAACGATAAAAGTCAATAGGAAGATATAGGATTTCAATAACATTATGACACTTCATAAACCTTCCTGTGGAAACAAATTTTCCCGGGATATGTGACCAGTTTCAGTTGGATTTGTAACTTTAATTTCTCACTTATTGAATTTTTGTCATCAACTAATTACACAGTCTGTATGCAGTGACAACCACACGCCTTATTTTCTTGTGAGAGGAGAGGCCACACATAGCAGCCTGAGGCCCAGGGCCCTCAGTTAGCTCAAGAAGGAGGAGGCAGAGTCCTTTCTGTACTCTTCCTGTCCCACTTGCAAGGCAGGGGTGTCTCAGAGTGTGGGCACTGAAGTAGCTGAGCTGTCCAATTGGCCTCTCCCTGGGGACATGGTTGGGCTTCTGCCTGTGTGGTGGGAATAGAGAGCGCTGTATAGAAAGGGCTCCAGCTTCTGGGAGAGGCCTGGCTCCAAGGTGCACTGAACGAATAGGTCTCCATCAATGTTGGGAATATGCCCACCGAGGCAGGCTGGTGTCAGCAAACCTTGCAGCTCACTTGAGGGGGAAGCCACTAGTCTGAGACCCGGGGCAGTCAGGCAGGGCTGTCTGATTTTCCTTCAGCTCCCTTCTCAGGATGTGTATTAGAGATGGATGGAGTATTCCAGTGAGCAGGTAGGACCTACTTCCTGGCTCCATAACTGGCACCCAGTGACCAGCATTGATACAGTTCTGTCACTTGATGGGCACCTTGTTTACAGGGTGGCTCACTAGACACTTAGGCCGTGGCAGTATTGACTGCACAGCTCTCCTTGTTGCCTTCTTGCTAAGAAAGAGACTGAGACTCAGATGATTAGGTAACTGACCTCAGAGCAGTGTAGGGTTTGAACCCTGGCCATAGAAGCCTGTCCAGTGCCCTGTCTACTGACTCCTAGATTGGTGTGATCAGAGTATTATACAGGCACACGCCAAAGTGCCAGTGAGAAGTCCTGAGCCAGCTGCCCACTTCTGCATCATCTGTCCACACCCACCTCCTGCCAGGGGATAGAAGAGCTGTGCTGATGCCCACTGAACTAGGGGTAGGTTCTGGCCTGGCCTAGATTTCCTAGGGCTGGGCCTCCTGAACCTAGATGTGGTGGCATCTGAGACCAGAGGAACCGAATGGCTCTGAGCTGTTCAGTCCATATCTAAGAACCCCATCTAGGGAGGAAAGAACTCAACAAGCAGCCAGGGGAGACCAGGCTTTCCTGTTCAGGCCTCACACAGCCTGCAGAGCAGCTCAGCTTCCACCAGGGGTATCCTCCCTACAGGCCTAACTGAGGACTTGTCCCATTGTGCTCACATGACAAAAATCTAGCTTTCAAGGAAGTTATCTGTCCCCTTCCCTAGCCTGGCTTCCTGGTCACACTTATCAGCCCTGCACTCCTAGAAGGGCACAGATAAGTAGTGACTTTTTTCCTAGCTCTGAGTTACTCCTGACTCTGTGGTTATCTTTCATCTCAAGAAAATGGTCCTTGGCTTCACAAAACATTCACTTATGTCCCAGAGGAGATAGGGTCCTGGGCATAGCTAGTGGCCTCCTCCATGAACTCTGTGGGTGGAGAGGTGCTTGGTGAGACCACAGCAGTTTTGATTGGAGCTGATTTTTAGGGAGTTTTTAGGGGCAGGAGGGTTCTCACCCCCATGGGACACTGTGGCATTCCTGCTGTACTTAGTCCTCATTCATCAGGCTGCAGTTTGTGTCCTTGCTTAGAGTATTACTGCTCACAGGCTCAGCAGCAAGGGGATATCCAGCCTGGCACCGAGATCAGGAAGGGGCTCTTGGGAAAGCACCTGGGCCTCTCGGGTGGGCTGTTTGGAGGAGGGCACTACTGGCAGGTATGTGAGAACCCAAGTCCTGAGCAACTTGAGGTTCCCTCCTCTCTCCAACAAACTTTTGTCTTCATACTCCTCCCAGCCATCCCCAGTGTCTCCTGTCCACTCTGACCAGCTGCCTTCTGCCCACAGGAGCGAGATGGCATGCGCGCCATCCTGGGGTCGTACGACAGTGAGCTGACCCAGGCTGAGTACTCACCCCAGCTGACACGCCGCATGCGGGAGGCTGAGGACATGGTGCAGAAGGTGCATGCCCACAGCTCGGAGATGGAGGTGAGTCTGGTGGAGGGCAGTCAGCCACAGGGGCTATGAGGGCTGGGAGTGGGGTATGCAGGGAAGGCATAGCTAGAGATCGGTCAGTAGTTTACATGTAGAGTTTACTCTAATTCTCATGATGGTATTGGGCTCCCAGGGCATCCCAGGCAGCTCCAGCGAGCAGGCAGATGAGGAGTCAGCGTGAGACTTTGGAGGGGTTTGGAGAGCAGCTAGAGATCATGGTGCCCTCCACCATGTACTCTGTTAGGCCCCTATCCTGGACCTGTCAGTGTCCCTCAGGGAAGGCACAGTCTCAGTCTGTGGCCTCTCTTTTCCCCATTGTACCTAGCACCATCCCGTTATCTTCTGTGAAGTCTTTTGCTTTCTTATAATTATAAGAGACATAGGTCCAGTCCAGTTTGGAAGAGTCTGCCTCCCAGGTTCTGTGGCATCATGGGCATCCAGCTCAGTTCATGGCTCTCTGTGCTAATGACACCCAGGAAGGAGCCTGTGTTGCATTCCCATACCCTCATGGCTCTTTCCTGGGTGGTCTGCATGGCTTTGAGTTCCTACCCGCTTGATGGCACAGGGCAGGGTTCCCCAGCAAACCTTCCCTTTTTGAGAAGTGAGGAGGAACAACTTGCTCCCTGCTGTGCAGCACAGCCCATCAGGTTATAGTATGATCTCTGGCCTTGAACACAGGCAGATGTTCCTAGATGCCAGGAAACCACCACAGGTGTAGGAACTGACACCACTGGTTCTTGCACTGAGCCCTTTATTGCCATCATCCAGTGCTGCTTTCACTGTGTTCCTAAAAACAGGTACTGTCCTTGCCCTGGGTTTACTAGTAAAGAAGCTGAGACCCAGAGCCCAGGGCTGGAAACATGGGTCTGCAGGCTTTGGTGCTCTAGCTGTGGGCCATGCGCTGCCTCCTTTCTCCTGGGATCCAAGGGGTCTGCAGCCATGAGCTCTTGTCCTGTGATCACTCTGACAGCAGTGGGCCTCTATCCATGGTGTGAGGAGTTGCAGAGAAAGGTAATGGTATGAGCCATTGTCACCCAGTTAGGTAGCTGTGTCCACTCCTCATTCAGCCTGAGTATGTAAGTCACCTCTGGAGCTTCTGGCTAGAGAGATGTTCTGGTTGTACCACTTTCATTTCCCAACTGCATTGTATGTATACCCTGGTAGAGACTTGCCCCTTTTGAGCTGAGCTTCCAGGGGTGGAAGACGTTTAATAAACAACAGTAGGCCTAGGGCTAGCTCAGCAGACTAATGCTCCTGCTTAGACAGGTGCAGGGGCTGGGGTTCGATTTCCAGGGTGCCATGCTGGCTCTGGCCCCTGGGCGCGCTAGGACAGTGACTAAGAATAGGCATTGTAGTATACCTGTAATCCCAGAGATTGGGAGGCAGAAAGCAGGAAGATCACTACGAGTCCAGTCTGTGTAGTGAGACCCTGTAGTCCCTGTACTAAATACATAAAATAAAACCTTAAAAAAAAAAAAAAAAGGCCATCTTGTGATTGGTGTTGCTGAGTTATGTGAGGGAGCAGTTGGGGGGGAGCGCTATACACCTTTGGTCACTGGGGACTGGTGTGGCTATGCATGGAGGCCGTGTCTGCCTAGTGCACCTGTAGTTGGCGGGTCACCCAGTGGAGCACAGAGGATTGGGCTGTACCAGCTCCATCTTGAGGATCACCTGATCCAGGCTGCCCTCATACACACACCCCTTCTCTTTTCTGCTTGCACTGAGACTAAGCAGGCCCTGGGGGCTGTATTATGTCCTTGCCTGGAGAGGGGTGCCAGACTTCATTGCCATTCTTCACAGGGTACATCCTAAGAGTGACACCCTCACGTCCTGTGTGACACCCTGGACTCCACTGTGGGGCTCAGGGCTCATCCTGCTGCCTCTAACTAGCAGGATGGCCAAGAGCGGGGCCCACCATGAACAGATCTGCACAGATCTTCCATCCTTATCTAAAAGGTTAACTCTAGCTGTACCCAGTGAAATTATCATAAATTTAAGTGCGTTAATAGCCATTTTATTACAACACATTTGGCTCCATATGAAACGTTAATGAAGAGAGATTTGCAAGGAAGGCTCTTTAACACTTCCCCATTGTACCAGAATTTCTCAAATTGAGGGATCCCTTTCTGCACTGGCCATATGTACCCCATACTAGTCATTAGGAGCCTTTACAGTTTGTGCACAGCTGCGTTGTACATGCTGTACTCGGTCACGTGATCAGGGCTATTGGTGACCTCAGCACCCATGGACAGACAAGCTGAATGCGTCTGTGCCTTGCAGGCAGCTTGGCAGGCCTCATCCTGCCCCTGCTTGTGGGGTGCATTAGGGACCTTTCTCCCATGGTGGGATATGATGGCAGATTACTATCTTTCTGTGCCTCTGGAGTTATGAGAGAATTGGCAGGCACAGAGCTCAAGACCCAGCCAGTGCAGAGTGCAGTCCTCCATCATTAGTGCCAATGTTCCTCTCACCGCCATCAGTGGGAGTGTCGGTCAGGTGTGGCTTAGGACTGAGCAGCTGACTCCTCCCCTTACCTGAGGTCCCCTTACAGCTTCTTTCTTATGGGGACAGGCACTGTGGCTCCTCCTAGCCTCTGTCCTCTATATCCAGGCTGTTGGGATGGGGCTATCCACAGGTATGCTCTAGACTCCACCTATGGGCTGCCACTTGCTGGCTGCTGTCCAGAGGCTGTATAGTGCCACCTGCTTCCTCAGCTCATCCTGGCACTCAGTCTCTGAGTTTAGCCTTATCCTCGTACTTGCAGCAGACCCTTGACTCCTGGACTGCACTGAAGCCTGGAGAAGGGAAGCCAGGGGGTGCAACCCCAGCCCACTGGGGATCAAGAGTGGTTGGATTTAGTGTGTGTTAGGGATCCTACTTGGTGCCTGTGGAGTCCAGCACAGATGCCTGTCTCTATTAAAAGGAAAGCTATGAGCCTCTTCTTCCACCAGGTGGCAGCAGACAGGTCCATGGCTTACTCCTAGGCCTAGGGAGGGCCAGCCTAGGATGGGATAAGAAAGGCCTGAGAGCCTTGCAGCTGGGAGGGTCTGCTATGGATGAGCTCAGAGAGAGGTGGGGATCCCTCCTGTCTCCTGTCAGTCCTTTTTGAAGCCTGCATTGGGTTGAATGCCGCCCCTCTTTTACCTCTGGTCCCTGCTTGGGCCATCACCCACAACTCAAGGAGAAGGTCGGGATGCAGCCATGCCTGGAGCTGGGTGCTTGGTGGAAGCTCGCTGGGGAGAAGCCACCTGGCAAATTTCAGTGAGGTGGCTGGGGGTCTGGGGAGTCTGTGAGGCTGGAAAAGGGATGTAGGTTAGCCCCCACTGGGCACAGTACTGCTCCTAAAAGGCATCTTGCAGTTACATCTTGTAGGGGCAGTTGCTTTCAGTGATGTAGGACTGATGGGGTGTGGGATTCAAGGACTCTGCACAGGCCCTTCCTTGCAAGGTCTGTTTCTGGTCACTTCCTAGTGACAGCCTTATTTTTGCAGAGAGATAGTTCAGCCCTCTAGGAGCAGAATTTAGGATGAGCGTGGGCCATTGGCATACAGAGATGTCAAAACTGGGTAATATCACAGAATTACTATGTGCAGAGAAACACCCAGTGAGTGGTTTTCCCATAACTTATGGAGGGGACACCTTATAAATTGGAAATATACAGCAGAAAAGTATAAAAACGAGGTATATAAAGTAAATCCATATTAATACAATGAGCTGTAAAAGGCTCAAGGCAATAACTTCTGAGGATAACCCACTAATATTATAGACTGCTAGACAGTGTTAGATTGTTTAGTTGAATTCAAATACTTATAGTATTTAGATACCAATAGAATATTCACCTCTGACAGGACAAAAAAAAATAAAAATTAAAATTAAAAAAAAGATGCAAAGGAAAGATCATTTTGTATTTATATATACAAAATAGGATAAATTTACAGCTACTTTCGCTTAACTCAATGAGAAGAAAGAGGTGTACTAACAGTGTTTGGACAGAATATCCTGTCTGCTTCTTGTGCTATGGATAACCACTAAGAAGTTAACAATGTACAGTGTATTGACTATCAAAACTGTCCTATTAATCAGTTGTGAAACTGTCTCATTCATATTTATTTCTCAATAAAAAATAAAAAGAGAAAAGTTTAAAATAAATAAATAAATAAATAAATAAATAAATAAATAAATTGGAAATGTAGTGTAGAAGTGAAGAAATAAGGGAAACAGATGAAACCCAAGCCACTAGTCCCTGTGCTCTCCAACCAGTGGCCTGCTTAGGCATGGGATCCTTGTTGCCTGGATTGTGAGTGGGTAGATGGGGCCATAGTGAGCTTGGTGCCAGATGTGGTTCTATGGGTGACTGAAAGTTTAGAGACCTGAGAGGATAGGGCCCTAAGACAGACATCCTACATGAAGCCTTCTCCTCCCAACACTGCTCTAGAGGCCTCTGCAACCCAGCTGGCCTGGCTGTAGCCTCTGACCTCAGCTTCCTGAGCCACACTCCTCAATGGAAGGCCATCTGGTGGTGCCTGGCTTCAGGCAGCTTCTTAGGAACCCCAGCTCCTAGAAGGCCCTGGCTCTTGGTCTCCCCATAGAAGTAAATTAAGAAGAGGAAAAATAGGGCTGGCCAGATAGCTCAGTGGATTAAAGTGCCTGCTTAGGCAGACACAGGAACAGGGGTTCAATCCCTAGTGTGCTATGCCAGCCCTCCTCCTCCCCGCCCCCCCGGGGGGGGGGGCACACTGAGTCAGCAACTGAGACTGGGTGTGGTAGCACATATCTATAATCTCAGCATTTGGGAGGCTGAAAACAGGAGGATCAGTATGAGTCGTATTTGTGTAGTGAGACCCTGTAGACTTGTGCTAAAAAAATAAATAAATAAGAGGGAAAAGTCACAACTGACCACAGCAGGTTAATAAAAGGAAGGGCCAGATGGTGGCATGGGGTCTGGCAAGAGTTGGGGCAATGCCCCATATGAAGGGGGTATGAAGATGGTGCATA